TTGAGCTGGATATGTAATTTTATGCTGATGTGGGGTGTATCCTTGCCTGAGTTACCTCAAACCATTATAAACCATATTAAAAAAATAAGAAACATGGACATTTAGGAGATGAGAGTTATCTTGAGTTGGTTTAGAAATAGAAATCATGTGAATAGATTACCGCAGTTAATTAATTCTTTCTTTGTATTATGGGCAGCAAAAATTTACTCTGTACTTTGGCTTTTACGTTTGCTTCATGCCCAAACAGCTCAGAAAAAACAAATTCTCTCAAACTGATTAGCATCAGTGAAGGCTTTTCCTCCATATAAGCTAACCAGCATTCTACAATAATTCCTGTTTGAATCCAAGTTATTTTCCACATCATTTACTTGATGATTTACTTGATGAAAATGGAACATTGGATAAGTAAGAGGTTAAAATGCTATAGTCTGTTACAGAAAAGAAAACAAGCTATCAAACAACTGTTTCATTAGATGTAATATTTGTGACTATGAGTCAGCATTGATTGAAAAGTCAATGCTATGAAGTATCTGACCTCACGCATTTGGCCTAATTTGCTTCAAGAACAACACTTGGAGAAAATTCATGTGCATCATCAGGACACCACTGCTTCAGAGTCAGATTTTTAAAAAGAATTTTTTTCTTTAGTTACAAAAAATTAAGACAGTGAATGATAATCTGGACTCATGAATTTTGGGAAATTTCCCACTAGCAAAACATTAGAACAGCAAAGTTCTAAAATCATCAAAATGCCTCTGCTTCAAAGCTGGCAGTTTGTGAAGTGCAGTAAATATTCAGTGTAAGCATAATGAATTTTCTGGTTATCTTATCTGAACTTGTGTAAATTGTGATACATAACTTCAGACTTTGCAATAAATTGCCGTGAGAAACTTCTGGAAATGTATACTAAAAAATCAGTTCTGAATAAATGCAAGCAAGAGATAAATTAATTAAGCCTACTTAAGATGATTTTTATATGATCTTTTTCTGTAATATGATTTTACCATAATTAGATGAAATAACTGATATTAGGAAAAGGTATGACATAACTTGGAAACAATACTGTGAAAAGTATGTTGAATGTATATTGCCTTGGATAGTTACAGTCATGAAAATTCACATTTAAAAAATGTGCAAATTACCACAGCGCTCGTCAATCTTTATATGTACAGAAATGCTGATTTCTTAAAACATGAAAATTGTGTGAATTCATTTGGGGTGATTCACTCATGTCCATAAATTAAGGATAATTTGGAGTCACGCGGAAATCGAACTCTAAAATAAATATATCACCTGTAAAATCACTACACACATCTTCAAGAATCATGCAAATTTCAGGAAGTAACCAGATGACACCGATGGTACATCACAATGATGAGAGTTTAAGAGAGTGATATGTAAGGAATACAGGCAAAGAAGTAAAATTTTTCGCAGGCACTTTATAAGCATTTCAGTGCTATAACCAAATAGTTATGACACAAAGGACGCATTTGGATGATTTTTTACGTGGTAGAATTATCGGCCATCTGGAATGTGGGCGTACCCAACTGGAAGTATCAGATGAACTTGGAATTTCCCAGAGTGTCATCTCCAGGCTTTGGCAACGATTCCAACATGATGGTAATGTAAGTAGACATTACAGCACAGGTCGTCCCAGAGTTACAATGCCGAATGAGGACCGGTATTTGGCAGTTACTGCCAAAAGAAACAGGCGGAGCACAGCCTCAGACCTGTCTCGTCAGATCTCTTCAGCCACTGGTACGACAATTTCAAGGCAGACCGTGTACAGACGCTTAGGGCAGATTGGTCAATATGCTTGTAGACCTCTCAGATGCGTTCGTCACTGCAACTCACTGTCGCCTGTGGTTAGCCTGGAGTAAAGAGCATGCATTGTGGACGCCGCAACAGTGGGCTTGTGTGATGTTTTCCGACGAGTCCAGGTTTAGCTTGCAGTCTGATGCCGGAGTTTCACATGGAGAGCTCCAGCTACCCGTTACTGCCAAGAAAACATCATTGAATGACACCGTTACGCTGGTGCAGGAGTGCTCGTTTGGGGTGGAATTATTCTGGGTTCCAGAACTGACCTGCATGTTCAAATTGGAACCATGACAAGCCAAATCTATTGGGACGTCATTCTGGAACAACATCTACGTTTGTTTCGGCGTGCCATGGGTGAACAATTTGTGTTTATGGATGACAATGTCCGTCCTCACCGTGCAAACATCGTAAGCGAATGCCTTCAATCGGAGGATATCACCCGTATGGACTGGCCAGCATTCTCACCGGACTTGAATCCAGTAGAGCACGGGTGGGACATGCTTGGCCGACGAGTTGCAGCCCGTCATCCTCCTCCTACATGTCTACCGGAACTTCGGAGAGCACTGTTTTTTGAGTGGTGTAATATCCCCCAAGATCAGATCGATAATTTGATACTCAGCATGCCTAGGCGTTGTACGGACTGTATTGCATCGTCTGGGAGACATACAATGTATTAACAATCATACCAACCATGTAATATTGGTTTTTTGTAAATAGTTTTTTTTTTTTTTAATTTTCTCCAGGGAGAAAAAATCGCTAATTTTTGTAATAATATCAAACATATACCATCTTTTTTTGCTCTTTACCTGTTTTACTAAAAACAATTGAGCTGATTTGATGCAAAGTCCATCTCTGAAAAACAATAGATGGACTTTGCATCAAATCAGCTCAATTGTTTTTAGTTTTTAGCAAAATATAGACCATTATTTTTCTAGCATAATGGTCTTTCTGATTAAATCTTGTGTATAATGTTTGTCATGATACAGAAGTTTCATTAGTGCTGCAAGATTAAGATGCAGCATTAAAGGTTAAGATAGATAAATAATTAATAGTTAAAATAGAAACAGATATTGTTTTTTTTTTTTTTTTTTTTTTTTTTTTTTTTTTTTTTTTCCCCTACAACATTGTCATTGCCATCATTGGTTTCAGAGCTTTTAGATTGTTTCCAAATGTTCCACAGATGTTTGCACCAAGGTATAATCAGATGGTATTGTATTGCAATTACACTGGCCTGCAAAAATTAAGCACAAGGTAGAGGAGTTAGCATTAAAGTAGAAGAAGGCAACAAAGTGGACTGACAGACCAATTAAGAAATAAGCTAGGGACCAGCATTGTAGGGCATGGACTTATACGTTCCATGAATTAATGAATTAAGGGGAGGAATGTTATAAGGTTTGGAGAGAGAAAGGAGCATGAAGTCACTCCTTCATCATTGAAAGGGACCATTTTGGAGGTGCTAGGGTTCTTGTTTGGGGTGGTATCATGCTCAATAGCTGTACTGACCTCCATATCTCTCAAGGAGGTTGATTCACTGACCTCGACTATTGTACCAAGGTCCTCTTGCCTCATGTGCATCTGTTTAGAGGTGCTGTGGGTCTAGAGTTCCTCTTCATGGAAGACAAAACTACAAATCATCATACAGTAGATGTCACAGAGCTTTTGGAAGCTGAAGATATTCAACACATGCATTGATCTGCAAAGTCTTCGGACCTAAATCTTCAGGAAGCATTTGGCAGCATGCGATTAGCTGCCAGCAGTACTTCTGCAGCTGAAATTAGCACTCTAAGAAGAATGATGAGAAGCGATGCTTCAGTAGTCCCTTGTCATTACCATGAACAGACATCATAATTCCTGTATTGCATTGCAGTCATAGGTGATCATATCCTCTTCTAAAAACTGAATTTTTCTTGCAAGGTACCCTGTCACATGGACATTTCTGCCTTCTTCCCAGTTGTGCTCGGAGCCACTTCTCCAATAAAGTGCTTTTATCCTTTTGATTCCATGTTTGGATGGTTTTATTCATTTGTCTCTTATTTTCACATCTTATGCTTTGATTTGTATTGATGTAGAACATGATGCTTCTTCATGGCAATGCATTCAAAAAATCCATCTTATCCTTAAATTTTGCACACCAATGTAGTTCAGTTGTACATGAAATTGGATGGTAACCCTGCACTGTATGAAATTAAACTATGTGATGTGCATAGTTCACCCCTTGCATGAAGAATCAGTCGGTGGCAGAAAATAAAGGGCACACCTCTCCAAATGATTTCATCTTCATTATATTATTTTAAACAGACAGCAAACGTTTTTGTTTGACAAAAAGACACCTGTAATCCTTCTGTTTTACCGCATTGTCGTGTCACTTGGAAAAGATTGTTAGAATGTAGTCATTTTCTAGCTTAGGACTTGGAAAACAGTCACAAAATTGTATCAGAAATATTAATGAAGATGGCTCAGCAACAGGGTGGGGGGGGAAGACCTTTCCTGTAGCCTGCTTTACAACTGGCAGCGTTCTACCTTCATTCATTTAAAGTCATTTCCACAATGAACAGTTAAAAAAAGAAAAGCTGTCTGCTTGTGAATGAGACTGAATATTCATAGATGTATGAAGAGATTTGGCAAGTTTGCTGTTCACAAGTTAGAAAGGATTTAAGCCAAACATTGTGATATACTTACAAGTTGTAATTGGCTATAGATTGCCATTATAAGACATTTTTTTAATGTTTTCCTCTTTGTCCATGTTCATATAGAGAAATTGCTTTATGTATATAAACTATTAAGTTTTACATGTGTCAGTATAGAAAAGTATAGTGTGATTCAGCAAAACTCATTTCTTTTTTTGTGAAGAAAATGTTGTAGGATATAAATGATGACGAACCCTGTAAGTACAGATATATTTATGGATTTATCACAATATAGTTATGGAGAAGTTATGATATAGTTGTGGACCTATTGCATCCTTGTGTTTTAAGATTTAAAATGGAAAAGTTGTTTTTAAATATGTGTCTACTTTGATATTTTCTTGTCTATTTTTCCTCCATTAAATGGTCAAAACTTTCACTTTAAGTTCAGCATCTTGATAATAATGTGTAATGATCATATTTATACAGTTATTGGAATTGTAGTTTATGAAAACCAGTTTTTCATGTCTAAGAATAGTTTTTTTCTTTTAAATATAGTTTAGTCAAAACATTTTTATTAATTGATGGAAACATTGGATTCCAACATTCTGACGAAGTTGCTCTATCCATGCTTGAAGAATATAGAATACCTTATGCTGTGAGTATGCTAGTAAAATATGCATATAAATAGTGCTTTCAATAAACTTTTCCGTAGCTTATAATTAACCTTTTAAATGGCAGCACTTTCAGAGCTCTTCGGTGAGGTATTGTATAAGTGTAGTCATTATTACTTTATTACGTAAAATTTGATTTACTTTTTTGCTTCTGTAACATATCTTAAGAATTATTTCTGAATATAACTGTACTTAAAAGCAAAATATTTTATAGAGCATGAAAATTAAGTCCTGACTGCATATAAATTTTTGCTGCATATGTGATTTAAATGAAATTTCTAGCTTTACTTATGTGCTCTTTATTTACTAAATGAATTTAAAATTTCATTTGCCGTAAATTCCGATTTTATTGTCTTTTTTAAAATTATTTGTAGTTGATTATAGTTCATCCATAAATAATTCTGACTTTATAGTTAAATCATTCCAATTTATTAAACTTAAATAGTTCAAACAGTTAAAATAAATGTAATGCAGAATAGCAGGATATTGAAAAGCACAGGTTTGAGAAAATGAAGGAGTAATGGGTATGGTGCAATTGCAGCATTTTATTGTTATTATTATTAGTAGTAATGTAATATGTATGTAATTGTCTGTCCGTTCATAAGATATAATAGTGGCTCTTCTGTTAGGGGTTTCCATAATAAAGTGACCACCACTTCTGGCCTTGCATAAGTGGCAACCAATGAAAAAAATTATTATTTTTATTATTATTAGTAGTAGTAATAGCAGTTTTTTTTTTTTTTTTTTTTTTTTTTTTTGTGTGTGTGTGTGTGTGTGTGTTTATAATCAATGAAAATCACAGACCTACTTTCAGTGCAACACCAACACCAACACCCACCCAGCATGTGCCAGTTTTAAGCATGTGCAAGAAATAAACATAGGTATAGTAAATAACTAAACCGATACAATTCAGGTTTAATTCAGTACGCAATAGGAGCAAGACATTAATGGAGCCATTAATGGAGCGCATTCGGAATGCACTCCATTAATGGCAAACAGTGCAGTTAGCATTACTTTTATTTTACTTCACTCCTGGGCCCATATTTTTAGCCTTGGGAACTCGGGAGGTTTCCATAGCGATGGCTGTGCTTCTGTTTCCAGGTCATATTTGTGCACCCATGATTTATCTCCAGTTATCGTCGTGTTCAGAAACTCAGGATTAGTGCTGGGTATGTCTAAGCATGTCTTCTACAAACTCAAGATGGAGTTCTTTCAGTTCTGCCGCCAGCACCTTGTGCATGAATTTTAGCCACTCTTTATTCAAATCAGCATGCAAACTTGTAGAGTGGAAATTTTACTGACTCCAACTTTTTTTTTTGGAAAATTCTCATCTGGTTAAACAATAATCTCCCTTTACCAGATTTTTCTATCCTCTCAACAACAGCTGCATTCCAAGCAGCTTGTGGCCTGCCATAATACTGATCACTATCCACTGATGTGGAACCATTTTTGAAATGATTGAAACACTGCTTAATTTATGTTACTCTCATGGCAAAATCATCTCCAGATACCTGCTGAGTCTTATGACTTGTTTCACTCTGAGAATCACCAAGCTTTTGACAAAATTTGATGTAGTATCTTTCCACAGCTTATTCAGTCATTTTGAGAAAAAAAAAAGAAAATTAGTGAATGTGTATAACAGCATCTTGCTCAGGAGTAAGCAGGCAGTGTGAAGTGAAGTGCATAACACTTCAAAGTGAACTTGTGCATAACACTTCAAAGTGAACTTCAAAGTGAAAGTTCACACTTCAAAGTGAAGAAAAATTTCAAGCATGTGCATTAAATTGTCTCCTTCTACTGTGCACAGTGGTGCCTACTTAACGCCACTACTTTGGATGAAATATTCAGGGTGGGATGCTTTTTAGACATACCTAGTACATTATAGTGTGCATAACATTTCAACTGAGTTCAGAGCTAGTGTTGGCACACAGCCATAAGTAGTACATATGGAATGCATATAATAGCACTCTGATAAACATATAAAAGAAAGTACTGGAAAAAGGACATTAACCAGTGCACAGGAAATGACAGTTTCCTGTGTACTGGTTAAGTACAAACAACATTAGAGAAGGAGAGATATTGGCTGAGCTTATGTGTGATTGAATGAAAAAGAAATACTAGGCCACATGAGAGGGCTAAGGTGGGACATCGTTAATTCAATATATTAAAAATGCTGATAATAAATGTCAGTCCAAAAATTTAATATTTAGCTGTTAGTATGTTTGAATTACAAGTGTAATCAACACAAATATCTTACAAATAGAAAATAAATACTATAAGTTGGAATTTTCCTTTCCATAATTCTTCTTGTTGTTTTTGCATGTTTTGATTAATATTTGTAAGTGAAATTTAAAAATTAAGTTAAAACTTACTTGTTACTTAAAATTTAGTTTCTTTTGTTAAAACAATTCCAGCTCTTCATCTACTTTCAGGTCATGCATTCGGCCAACATGCAGTTTGAGTTTTCGACCATTGTTCTAAATAATGATTTAGCTCTTTTTCAAATTACTGTAAAATGAACTTCAGATAGGGAAAGCAACAGGAAAGTGGGTAATTTTATTGGGAATAAGAAAGCATTACAACAGATAGCTGTTTAAAAATCAAGAGAGTTTTATCTGGTTTGCAAAGATTTAAGTTCTGAAAATAAGGTTAGATTATCATGAGAGTTATGTCAAATGCAGGAAAAAAGCCCTAAATAAGCAATGAAAACTGTGACCTTTTTCAGTATCGGTTTGAAAACTTTTATGTATTTCTCTCAAATGAAAACTATACTTTCATTTCGTGGTACATTATGCAAATTGTAAGTTGATCAGGTGCATCTTCCCTGGTCCTGTAATTGTAATGACCAGCATAATCTACATTACTAGTTGTTTAGAACTGCTATAATTTCTAAAATGCTTTGCTGTATATATTGCTACAATTTTTGAAACCAACTGCTATGTTTTCAAAAGTATGCTGCTACCAGTTGCTATTTTCCTTAAAATTTTCTGCTGTAGAAAGATGAGTCTAAAGTACATTTTATGCTCACCTCCCTACATGTATTATTAAATAAGTTAAAAATTCTAATGAAGTCAAAATTATTTTATTGGGGATGAAAATACAAGTAATATTTGTGGAAAACCAAATACATTCCTGCATTGCATTTTCATCTGTGATTTAAATACAGGATGCTCTTTGCATTTAAAAGTGTTTCTGTTTGAATTTTTAGTGTTTTGGAAGTTTTAAAAATTATGTAACAATAGTATGTTTAAAAGGGTAAAATGTTTTTAACATTTAAAACAAAATAAATAGGAGAGCTGACTGTGCAAAATAATTTCTTTTCAAAAGGAGTTAGTTTTCTTTCAGTAAATTCCAGAAACTTATGAAACCTAGTTCTTTTGATGAATATTGGACATTAGTTATCAGTGGCTTAATATCCTTATGACATCAAAGGTTAAGCGAAGCACCAAAAGACAATATTTTGTTGATGCTGGCTTTATGTGTATGTTTCCTCTGACTCTGGCCTTATATGTGTTTCATCTTTAAAGATTCCTGCATCTGCTTGTGTATTCATTTTCATAACTAACATTGTACTATTCTGCAATATTAATTGGAATGATAAAATTGTAATAAAAATATAATTTTATTTAAAAATATCTATATTTGGAATAATGGTTAAAAATTTGTCAAAAGTACTCATATGTGTATTACATAATTTTGTATTAAAAGCTGTAATTCAAAATTTTTGTAGCTTGTATTGACAAAAATTGATAAAGCTGCAGATAGCAGGCGTTTGAAGAATGTACTGCATCTTAAAAATGTGCGAGACAAATGCGCATCTGTATCATGCTTCCCTCAAATCTTCATGATAAGGTAGTGTCATTTTTCCTTTTAGCATTGAAGTTAAGTCTAAAATGATTTCAACAGTAACCGATGAGAAAAATATTTGTAATTTAAAATTTTGTTTCAGTTTCATCAATTCTGCTTTATTTTTTAATTTATACTAACTTGATTAGATATGCTGAATTGAGAATTAGGCAACCAAAAGGAAAAGCTTTATTTCAGTAATTTTTAATTGATGAAAATAAATGTTTGCTTTTCTACATAATTTTAAATTTTACATTGGCATATTTCTCTTATGGTTAAGTGTTGAAGCTTGCTTAAAATACTCAGTTAACTCTTTGTGGACAGATGTCTTGGATGCACAGTATCCTAGGTTTATTCTTGTAAAGGTTGTTAGGCTATGCTCAACATAAATATTTTGCTTAGTTTTTGGGGGGAAATGTAATTTATGAATATTAATCATTTTAGTGTTCTTTCAGATCATGTTTGCTTTGCAAATAATTGCTTGAAATGTTCTTAGCCACTTTTTTAAGCTGACCTAAACACTTGATTTTTATTTAGCTCTATTCACATCTATAATTGCTCACTCCCACTTCATTCCATCCAGAAATGATTTGGATACTGTACTGAACTTCAATTATTCACTTAAGTAATACATAAATAATTGGAAAATGTAAATAATCTTAAAATGATTCTTTAAAAGTGTGACTGATGCAAAAATAGCTAAAAGTAAATATTTAAAAGGCTTTGTACTGAATGACTTGGCTTATGTATATGTTTTAAAATAATGTTTAGTGAAATTCATATGGATCTTGAATTTCCATCAGAAAAATTCTGTTGTGTTCCCATTTTTGAAAGTCTTGGGCATTCTTCTAGACTGTATAGCTATACAGTGTGCTATACAGACCCTGTGAAAGCTATGGTGTCAATAAAACATGAGAGTAACAGTTTGTCCATCCATTTATTTATTCCACTGTGTCAGCCTTCATTTTTTTCATCCTTCTGTGTTTCTCCATATACATTTTTTAAGCCATGAATATCAAAATTTGTTTACATGAGACCAAGTTCTGTTATTTCTTCATCAGTAATCCCTCCTATTTTGTGATTTAGAAGTCTGTTTATTTCCAGCCATGAATTAGCATAAAGCTTTTAACAAAGTTCTAAGCCTGAGTTGTAAGATTCATTACATAAAAAATCTTAAGTTTTTCCCGGAAAGCCTCAAATGTTTGATCTTCACTTGTCAGTCTGAAAGCATTTGGAAGGGGAGATCATTGCAAAACAAAAAGGGAAAAGTTTAGAATATGTAATATAGAATTTTACCATTCCTTCAGTTCGTGTTACCTTATTTTGATTATTGTATGGCTTGCATATATTACATCAATTCCAGAAATTTGAGATTGAAATTTTAATTGTTAACAATAAGTATTTTAGTTATTTTTACTTCTTTTGTGTTAGAAATTGTAATTAGTCAAGACTTGCTACAGAATAACTTGCGAAAAGCAGTTTATGTCTAGCTGGATTGGTAAAGTCAAAGAAAGGCACTTTAAAAGACAGGAAATCATAATCTGAATATTATAAAAAAAATGAATGTTTTCAGAATTAAATTGTGATTGTTGTAATGTTTTAAATAAAATAAACAAATAGTATTTTTGTGAATTGAAGCTTAATGTAGTAAGTTTTAATGCTTTATGCAAAGGAGCAGTGCTGTTCAAAATTGCTCTCTTCCATTCTATAAACGTTTGAGTGGGAAGACTTTAAGTAGGTTTTCAAAATAAAATCCTCAGTATTGCCATCAGTGCTTTTAATTCAAAGAGAAAAAGGAACTGTGCTTACTGGTCTAAAATTTTTTCCTTTAGTGTTTTAGCAAGTAACAGCTAAATCCAGTTAATGTTAATCCAGTCACTTAGGGTTTAGACCTTAATTTGAGACAGACCTGTGTTTATGATTTTATTGCAGAAAAATAAAAAGAGTTTGCAACTTTTTAAAAATACTGTGAAAATTAGTATCTTCGAAGCAAAGATGTAGAAAGCCAAGTTAACAGAGAATCTTGGTAGCCTTCTTTTTGCTAATTTAAAGTTTAAATTAAAACTTAAACAAGCTCTTTAATTATAGGTAATGATGACTTGGAGTAAGCTGAAACAGATTGACGATGGTTCTCAACGTTATAACTTGGAGAGACTTTACTGCGTAAATAGAAAGATTATACTCGAAGAAGAGTCTTTTATACTGATGTAGCCAAATTGAGCGTAATTTTTATTGCTGGACACAAACTAACTAACATGTCAAGTGCACATTTATCCAATATGGCAGCTCACCAAAAAGGGAAATTTTGGTTTACGTTAAAAAAGCTTCAGTTCTCAGAGTTTAGATTCCGAAATAACTATGTCATCAGCATTGCGTAGGTCATGTAAGCTGCATTGATCTCGAAATGACACAACCCAAAGAAGTTATTACGATTTTTAGGATAGACTGGGAAAATTAGGGTTTACCATTAGTGAAATTATAATTTTGATTTGTATATTTTTTATCTTGCATATATGCATGCGTGTGTATGTATACACACAAATATATATACAATGGTGGCCAAAATTGTGGACACTTTTGGAAATTTTTATGTTTTTGAACTTTGTATGCTTATAGAAAATGTTACCTTTCGCAAAATGCAAACTTGTATATATCATTTTAAAGAGAATTTATTACTGAATTCAATACAAAACACAAAATTCAATTATTTGCAATACAAAAAAGTTATATGTACTTTAATATAAATAAAAAAAAACACAGTTATAAAGTGGTTTGTAATGTCTAGCTTTCCTGGCCAATCACTGTTCTTGTTCTGAGAACCAATCAAATGTTAGTAACTGCCAGTAGAATCTGACATCATGTTTACACTTGAAACAATTCATTATTTTGCTTTGTTCTTCAGAAGGAGGACCTGTTTCTTATACACTGCAATTACAAGTAGAAATTTTTGTAAAAATTTTTAATATTTAGTCAAGAAGCAATGATATCAAATAAAAGAGTAGATTGGACACCTAGAGAGAGATGTAATATTTTTGTGTTACGAGAAAGTTGTCTTTCCTATACTGAAATTGCAAGACAGGTGGTTAGTTCAGTGACTACATCTGGAGTCCGAAAGTTTTGTTTACAATATCAGGAGACAAATTCAATAAAAAACAAAGAAGGAAAAGGCCGAAAAAGGTGCACCACATCTATTGATGACAGAAGAATAAAAAGACTATGTCTCCAAGATAGAAAAATGTCATCAGCGTCCATCAGAAGTGATCTGAATGATGCTGGTGTTTCTGTCAGTTCAAAAACAATCAGGAAAAGATTAACAGATGTTGGACTGAGAGGTAGAATTCCACGAAAAGAGCCTTATCTTAATTTTCAGCAAAAAAAAAAAAAAAAAAAAGACTACAGTGGGCAAAGGAACACATTAATTGGACAGATGATCAGTGGTCACAAGTTATATGGAGTGATGGAACTAAGATATCGTTATTCGATAGTGATGGGCGAAAATATGTAAGACATAGAATAGGAGAAGAGCTACATCCTGACTGCATTCAAGCAACTGTGAAGAACCCAGTTAGTGTTATGATTTGGTCATGCATGTCAGCAGATGGTATTGGTCGCCTTCATGTCATCGATGGGACACTGAATGCCAGAAAATACATTGACACTATTCTAGAACCAAAACTTCTACCTTCCATCAGAGATCTCTTTCCCAACAATACTTCGTTTATTTTTCAGTGGGATTCTGCTTCTTGCTACATGGCCAAAATATTGAAAGAGTGGTTTCGTACAAACAGCATTAAATTGTTGTCATGGCCTTGAAACAGTCCTGACCTGAATCCTATCGAAAATTTGTGGCACCGTTTGAAAACTCTTGTCCAAATGAGGCGCCCATCAAATAAAAGGGAACTAATTGAGGCTATAATTGTTTCCTGGCATCATGTAATAACAAAAGAAGAGCTTAAAACTCTTGTCAGCTCAATGAAACGTCGATGTGAAGCTGTAATCAAAAATAAAGGGTACCCTACTAAGCACATAACTCACTGCAATCATCACTATCTAATGTATATCGATAATTATTATCATTTAACTTTTTTTGTATTGCAAATAATTGAATTTTGTTTTTTGTATTGAATTCAGTAATAAATTGTCTTTAAAATTATATATACAAGTTTGCATTTTGTGAAACGTAATGTTTTCTATAAGCATGCAAAGCTCAAAAACATAAAAATTTCCAAAAGTGTCCACAATTTTGGCCACCACTGTATATTAAATGTCAAGATTATCATCCCAGAAAATTTACAGTAAAAGTCATGGCTTTTAATAGAAAGTAAAATGAAAAAACTATTGCAGTATAATGAAAATTTTTGTCAATGAAAGATGAAATAATAGAATATTGTATTAATTATTGCAGATTCAATGAAAAAAGGTTGATTTTTCAAGGAATATTTGCCTATTTTTGATACAATGATCTATAATTAAGGAAGTTTGAATTGTGTTTTGTCTTCCTAAACCACATGAGTGAAATTCTATTGTAAAGATTTAATAAAATACAGGGTGATTATAAATGAATGGTGCGATTTTAAAAATTAATAATGAATCGATGCATTTACAATATATGTGGACAAACCTGACAGCATAAGCAGCGTCAACTATGCAAATTTTAGATGCTTAATCACAGTCATTCAATATCTAACCCTTGTTCACATGACACACTTCTACATGGTAATCAAATTCTTCCCATACTTGGTATAGCATGTCTGCAGTGCTTCTTTTATCCAACCTCAAACTTTCTCAAGGGACACGGGGATTGGCAGTCCATAAATTCTGTCTTTAATAACCATCAAAACAGAAATCTCAGGGTGTTGAATCTAGTGAATGGGGTGCCCAGGAGAGAAAGTTGTTGTCTGCTGTTGTAGCACATCCAGTCCAGCATTGGTGAAGAACACGATTAAGAAGCTCTCGTACATTATTTGAGGAGCACCGTCCAGACGCAAAATGTAATCATCATAGCTGGTGTTTAGCCAGGGTAACACTCAGGTTTCCAGTATGTCTAAAAATGAGTCACCGATCATAGTTTCTTATTCAAAGTAAAATGGGCCAAGCAAATTCTTGCAGGACATCGCACAGAAAATGTGTATGAAACTCACACTGCACTAAAACCACATATCTGGATACCTCAAAACGGAGCACATGAGAAAATTGGATAGTTGCCAATGCTTACGGTGTAGGTTTTACATGGGTAAGGTAATACATTGATTTATTATTAGTTTTTAAAACAGTCAAATACAATGTTCTTCATAAGCTCCACAGCCTGTTATAGGCCAAGGCTGTCTCTCCAAGTTTCCTCCACCTGACCCGATTCACCACAATAGCCCTCAATTGGTTAACTACAATTAACCTTAAATCCTCCTCGACATCATCCATCCATCCGGTGGGTGGTCTTCCTCTTTGTTGTACTCCCTCAATTTTCAAAAAGGTTATCTTTTTAGTTGGAAATGCATCATCATATCTAAACACATAGTCCAGCCATCTGATACGCGATGCCTTTTTGATTCTTACAATATCAGTTTTACCATAGTTCCTGTATTTTGAATATAATTCATGATTATAGAGAATCCTCCACATGCCATTTTGTTGTACCGGTCCAAAGATCTTTCTTAGGATTTTTCTTTCAAAAGCTGATATCAGGTCTTCCTCTTCTCTGTTAAGTATCCAACATTCACTTCTTTAAAGGGCAACAGGCCTTATTAAAGTTTTATATAAATTTAATTTAGTTTTTATGTTTATTAGTTCGGATGTAAGTTGTTTTTTTAAGGCCCTAGTAACATCTATTAGCCATAAATATTCTATTTTTTACTTCAACTTTTATACCTTTGCAACTTTTGATCAGTGTGTCCAGATATTTAAATTATTTTACGATTTCAATGGTATAACTGTTTATCTTCAGGGGGGATAAATCAGTAGTGTTATTAGATGCAGTCATATATTTAGTTCTGTCTTCTTTAATTATTAGGCTCATCTTCCATGCTGCATTTTCAAGCGAGACAAATGCCTTAACCACAACTCATTTAGATCACCCAATGATATCATCGGCAAAAGCCAGCAGTTGAATGGTTCTGTGCAAGATGGTTGTATTTGTGTTTATTCCAGAGTTTCTTATGGTCTTTTCTAGAGCTGTATTAAAGAATAGGCGAGATAGTGAGTCCTTTCTCAGTATAAAAATGTTCTGAAAGATGTGTTGGAATTTTTATTCTGCATATCACTTTTTTGAAATTGTTATTCTATATATGACTTTTAAGAGTTATCCTTGTGAGGCTTATCAGTTTCTTTGGGATAAAGTACAATGATACTTTTGAATATTACTGGCACCATAAATAAATGTCATGATCTTCTCATTGAACAAAAGTTTGGTATATCAAGACATATTCAACATATACTGAACAAGGTGTAAGTGTATACATACAAATTATTACTAATATTACTGTAACATTGTATAACATAATAGAAAAACATACATTAGTTTTTTGAAAACACTAAACAACACAGTTTAAGTTAATTTAGTCCAGTGTATTCTAATAAATAAAACAAAGTTAAGTTAAATCTCAAACATTTATTTAGAGAAAAACATTAGAGCTACATAAAGTTAAATTGAAGTGGTCATTTTTGAAGGTGGCAAAGTTGGTTATAAATGTTAATTATAACAAATTATCGAACATACCTTCATTTCTATTATGATTACCATTGGTGGGCCCACATAAAACAGTTCTCTTTAATAAACTAGCAATCTCAATTTTTCTTTTAGCATACTGAATAGAAAACAAAATATGTTAGTAGGAACCAGTTTATACTGGGAATAAATCATTAGAATTATTCATAATTTCCACTACAACAAATTTAGGAACTTAAACACTTCAAACTGTAAGAAAAGTTGTAGTACCATGTTACAGCTCGGAGGGGTACAAAGTTGAATACCATGCAGAGCTGAGAAAACGACTGGAAAGAAGCCATTTTTTAATACAGAGCCTTGAACTAGAAAGAACAATGAAAAAATTAAATTTGTCAAATTTCAGAGTGCACGGCAGTCACCCTTAGTCCGTCCTTTCTCCTTGGTCCATTGGGTGGGTCCAATGGTGCCAAGAGATAGATAGCCACTCATCTTCAGAAATTCAAAAATATATATGTCGTTCATCACTCTGCAAGGAAGTGTGACCCTCCTTCTTCGATTCAGCTCCAGCTGCCCTTCTCGAAAACCCCATGCAGACATTTTTCTTCATTTGGCAGGAACCTTGAGCTTGGCAAAGAACAAGAAAGAAACAGTTGCCCAGATCCAGCAACCCACTGCGCAAGAACCTGAGTTTGTTCGGGGAAATTGTCTTCTGGCTTCCAGAAGTTGGACCTCAAGGCTACTCAGAAAGTTAAAACATCCCTCTGCCAAATAATGACGTTAAACAACATATTTCGAGCTAGCCTCGTCTGAAAAACAGCAGGATGCAAGTGTAATACATGTGAAAGTTGAACAGCCAAAATTTCCACCCATCGCAAGCACACCCCGTATAACATTTACATGTAAAAGAACCATGCTACAGATGGGTGCAAAGTATGCAAATATGCACAGATAGCCAAACGTTTGACTACAACAAGGTCACTTTCAAGTGAAGGTACTCTGTTTACCACTGATAAGAAAATAGCTTTTAACAAATTCTGAGAATAGGAACATTTTTCATTATATCAGCTTGTTGAAAAAAAATAGTTTTACTGTAATTTCCGGAAGAAACGCCGCGGCATTTACGTGTTTAAAACTTAAATTTTAAGCAGGTGCGGCGTTTCTACCCATGCGGCGTTTAGGTGCACTAAATATAAAATATTTCCTATGATGGACGTTGTACATAGTTTGAATGGCCTTGTCATTGTGCATAGACTGGTGCTGTTCCCACACAAAAGACCACTCAGTTGCTATTTGCGAACGTTATTTTGTTTACATTCTTTCCCTTGAACGGATCTACATGCCTTATTCACCCTAAATGAGATCTCAGAAAAATAACATTCTTCCCCCTTTCAAATCAACCATCTCATCAGTTTGAATAGTTTCTCTCCTCTGCCATTCGATAAATCTTCCAGTACCCATCCTCTCCCCACCCCTGCCTTTTCTGCAATTTTTTTCAAAGGCGGATACGACTCCACCTGTCTTGCAATAACAAACTCTGACATATTTCCCCTTCAGCATGAATCAATTTTTCTTGGCATTCTGCCAGATACAGATCCCATCAGTTTGGGTACAAGTACTTGTTGGATAGTTTTTAAGTAAGAAGAGAGTGGAAAATTTTTGAAAATGTCACCTAAACGGCACAGAAGCTATACTGCTGGTTTTAAGCTTAATGTAATTTCACGTGTTGAGCAAATTGGAAATCGAGCAACAGCTCGAGAGTTTGAAGTTGACGAGAGTTGTATTCGACGTTGGAGGACTGAAAAAGAACTTCTTAAAAATATGCCACAACAGAAACGAGCGTAAGAAGTGTTACTGTAAGGTGGCCGAATCTAGAGGACGACCTTGAAAACTGGAAAAGGGAGCAACGAGGAAAGGGAATGGCAATTTCGACTGTAAAAATTCGCTTACAAGCAAAATTTATAGCAAAACGAATGAATATAAATGATTTCAAAGGAGGTGTAGCAGATTTATGAAAAGAAAAAATATTTCTGTGCCTACTAGAACAACAGTCTGGCAACAATTACCAATGGACTGGGCAGGATAAAAAGGCATCTTTTCTAAAATATGTGACAGATATTATTGACAAAAAAAACTTCTTCGGTCACAGATGGATGAAACGCCATTAGCTTTCAACTTTCCTGCAAACAGAACTGTTGATGAAACTGGTGCAAAAACTGTATCTGTGCTTACGACGGGGCATGAAATAACATCATTTACATGTGTGTTAGCATGTGCCACAAACGGTGACAAGCTAAAGCCGATGATCATTTTTAAACGAAAGACTATTCCGAAGGGAGATTTTCCTAATGATGTAATTATTTGTGCAAACGAGAACGGCTGGATGTTCGAAACAATCATGCATGAGTGGCTACAAAAAGTTTGGCAGTGTCGTATGGGATCTTTTTTCCAACCAAAAGGGTTATTGATAATGGATTCCATGGGTGCTCATTTACTTGAGTCAGTGAAAACCAGATGTCAAAAATTGTCTACGACCGAAGCAATAATTCCTGGTGGTTTGACAAAAATCTTACAACAGTTAGATTTATCAGGTAATAAATCCTTCAAAGCTGAAGTCCGAAAGCGGTGGGAGTGTTGGATGAGTGAAGGATTGCATACGTATACCAAAAGCGATAAAATGCATAGAGCATCATGTGAAGAAGTTGCAAAGTGGGTAGGAAGGGCGTGGAAATCAGTAAAAACATCATCAATAATAGCAGGGTTCAAAGAAGCTGAAATTATATCCTTAGATAAACAGACTGTAAACCAAGAGGATGAATGTGACGATCTGGAAGACTTGGACTTAGATCAGGATTTACTAAATCTTTTTAATTCAGATAGTGAAGAATAAGATTTTGATGGCTTCACATGATGTATAGTTTGCTGTAATTACTTTTGTAAGTAAAATTTAAAATTTCCTTTTTTCATCCAAAGTTAATATTTCGTTGTTGCAACATTTTTTATTGCAGCATTTTTCAGACTATAGTCTGAGTATTACAAATATGGACTTCTTTAGTGGGTAAATACAAGTATATATGTGAAGCTAAATATACTTTCCACATTTCTTACCTTTAATTTATTTTTGAGTTACGGTTTCATTTCATGCATTTTTCTTAACTGGTATGTAATATATCAGGACTTAGGTTGAGATTTTGCATCTATACGGCCCACGACGATGTCACGCGCAATTTAAATCTATTGTGGCATTTCTGTGTAATTTTAATTTTTTTCACGCCATTTTTCTCGAGTGCGGCGTTTACGCTGATGCTCCTTTCTTCCGGAAATTACGGTAATTAGGACTGAAATTAATTCTGTTGTATAACTCTTTCATCACAATTAAACAAATTATATGTACTGAATTTTAATTCTAGTACTTGGAAGTTTCAATTCATCCCAATGCATATGTTTTCATTACAACTGTCGAAATAATATAGTTACACAGTTATTCAGAAATGTATTCATTCCTCAAAATCAAGTTTCTTCATTACATCAACTGAAATTGCCACCTGAGTCAGAAAATATGGATTCATAACTTTATCAGAAAGAGAGGCAAAAATTAAACAAATAAAAAAACATTTAAGTTTACACACCAAACTAATGTAACAAACAGAAAGCTTTAAAATTTAAAAGTTAAATAACCTTAAGGTTATTAGAATCAAAAATCCTCAAACAAAACAGAATGAAACCAAATAAACTAAATTTTTCAAGCAAAAATTAAAAGTTAAAACAAACTTCACCTTTGAAAGATAAAAGGATTAACACTACCAAACTAAATTTTAAAGTTAACAAATACAGCTTTAAAAAAATTAACTTACAACAATTACTTTAAACTGAACAAATAAAATCAAATTACTAAAATTCAATTACTGAAAACCAAAATTAAGAAACAGTAAATTACTGATAGTCAAAATTAAGAAACAATATTACATAAAAAAACTGCACCATTCATTTATAAACACCCTGTACCTAAATTGAGCATTAATTCAATTATGTGTCAAGTAGTTTAGAAAAATACCCTGACATGATTCTGATCCGTGTTAAAAATATAAATAATTCTGTAAAAATATTTGAAATCACTGTAATTTACTTAAAACTTTCTTTGAATAATTAATTGCAATAAATCGGAAATATACCAAAAAAAGTATTTACAATAAAAGAAACTTTAGATTTAAAAATTTATTTATAAACCAAATATGTATATACAGAGTGATTCGGTACCCGACTGAACAACTCGTAGGGGGTAGAGACCACTCGGAATCACATAGTAGGAATGCAGGGTCACAAATGCCATAATTGCGAGCTGTGGTGCAAAGCAGCTGCGAAAAAGAACAGAAACAGCAGCACATTAATGGGACAGAAAACATTTTTATTGACACTTTGTACTACGACAGGTGTTCAAAATTACAACCAGAAGTCATCTGGCAGCCCTGAAAGCGGCCTGTGTGGAATTCTTTAAGTTCTAGAATATTTCTGGCATGGCACGTATCTTCCCAGC